ATCTTTATGTTGCTATGTTCCCTACTGAGACTCCCTTAGTTTGCAATTTGGAAAAGCTTTGGAAAGATATCCTGTCTTATTGTCTACTAATAAGGGGAAAATTATTATAAAGCCACCAATAGGTACAGATTGGATTCATACATTGCTAAACCATAATACTGTTTGTTTGGATTAGTGCAATCAATTAACATGATTTTTTCATTTATTTCTTCCTTAATTAAGCCTTCATGTTTAGCACATGTTCATGGTAGATGTCTCATCTAGGCTTTCTACGATGATTTATAGACAAGCTCTCCTTCCCTTCTGAGCAGTCATTTTTTAATGTATAAATGAAAATCCAACTCTGGGGAGATTATTGCTTTGCCAAATCAAGGGCAATCCTCTATCAATATTGTCCGTGTCTAGTTGGTATATTGTGTTTACAGTATCTACCTTCATAAAGACATTTGGTGAAATTAGGCTTATTGTTTGCTTTTGTATCAGTGGGATTATATCAGAGAGTTCTTTTGATGAGTGTGTATGTGTATGGGAGATTAATTCTATTTATTCAGAAGTCTAAATATAGAATCAGTTTATGAGACATTTAAAGAGGCACTATTATGACACTAGTGGGTCTGTATACATTACTAAGGCTTAACATGAGGTGTGACTCCAGCCATTACATTCCAGATTAATAGATTAACAGGTAAGAATGCATTAGCAAGAAATAGAGGACCCTCAATATGGAATTTAATGTAAACACAAGTTATCCATTTTCAACTTTGGAAAGTTTTAGTAAACGGTATATAATGTTATTTTTATACAATATGTTACTATAAATGTTGGAAACATTGTGAGTTGAACAAGAACAAATTGCAACTGAGAGGGTTGTATTCCAAATAGTAGAAGTGAAAATTACAACTTTCCTAAATTCCATAGTTATATTAACCAAGGTGAAAATTGCCAAGAGCTGCTTGAAAATTGCCAAGAGAAGGCACATCCATCCCAGTTTCTCTTGTACATACATGCAGACATCATTTATAAAAGACTAACATTTTACACTGCTTGTAGTTTTAATGTTGAGGATTAAACTAGATGGAGAATTTCCTTCAGTATTAATTTCAGTTAATTTATTTGAAATAAAATATATCTCATTTTCTTCAGGTATATACTGAGGGTCAATTGTTCAAAAATCTACTTTTGATTTAGAATTATGCAAAGCTGTTCTTTTTTAAATGATATTAGTTAAACTCAGATGTAGTTTTGTACATATAATGAAGTTGCTCATTTGAGATTCTTTATTCCTGTCACAAACATGTTGTTAGATAATCTAAATTACAAATCAGTTAAGCAGTAGAAATGACCTTAAGAAATAAATAGCAATACCACTTAGGCTTATATACCATTTCACAGTGCTTTACAGCCCTCTCTAAACAGTTTACAGAGTCAGCATATTGCCCCCAACAATCTGGGTCCTCATTTTACCGACCTTGGAAGGATGGAAGGCTGAGTCAACCTTGAATTGGTGAGAATCAAACTGCTGGCTGTTGGCAGAATTAGCCTGCAATACTGCATTCTAACCACTATGCCACCATGCCTCTTGGTGAATCTGGAGTATATTAAAATACATTGTAAATTAAAATTTAAAAAGCTAAATATGGTCAGGTGTTGTAATACTTGGATGGGAGATCACTAGAAAATCTTGGGCTATTAAAAAGGCTGAGAAATCAAAAAATCATCCCAGAAGAAAATAGCAACCACTTCAATATTTTTATTATATGCCATCAAACTGGAGTTCAACCAAGAAAAAATATATGTTATACTCTCACATCCCATTACTATGGAATGAAGTCATTTCAGTAACCATCTTGAGCAATATATTTTCCTTATGTAATTTCTATCTTATTGCCAGTCTGTATGGTGATATTAACTTAAAATCATCTTCAGTCGTTCCACATAAAAATATGTTTGGGTAATGAATATGGCAATGTCAAGTAAGGATTGGAACTTTCCCTGCTACTGTGGTTCCCAAAGTCTGCTATAGGCACACTGTCTTGTACTACACTTTCTATTCATTTTGACTAGGGCTGTAAGAGAGATCAAACACGTAGCTTATGAAGTTCTTTTTTGGCAAGTGATGAATATATCTCCTGGAAGAAAATGCTTCCTACATACCTTTGAGTCTTCCAAAGATTAATACATCCAAGTCAATAAAAAAATCTCATTTGACAGATTGGCAAAGAATTAGAGGGGAACTACATGAAGCAAGAAGGCAGATCTAATCTCAGCCTCCTTTTTCTTCCCTCAGGTCTATTGATGTGTTAGAAGACAGATTTTTTTCCAAAAAAACCCCCCACCCATACACATAAAAATATTGGTCTACTGAGTCAAGAGAGAGATCGAACACCTGTCTAGTGAAGATTAAACCTTACAACCAGATCTGATCTGATCTGATCTTGCCATAGGACTATCCCCTAACTTTGTTGTTCATTGACAAAACACATAATATTCCTGACCAGCTCGATGGGAAGAATATAAGGGAAATGGAAGGGAATGCTGTTGATCTGCATGTAAATTCCATCTGGATTAATAGATCATTTTTGTTGTTGTTGTTCTGGTTTTACTATAAGACTATTGATCTCCCAGGAATGAAACAAGAACAATTAAATGGAATATGAGGGGAAGAGGGTGAAGGAGTTTTATCCCAATATATTGCTTGTTGTTTACACAGCATTGTTATTTGTAATTCTGTGCAGGATTTGCTTCAGTAATTCTGAAGCAAAAGAAAAAAATCTGGTTGGTTGGTGAGACATATATACTCATCCATAAACCATCATAGATAATCATAGTGATTGAGTCATGCTAAGCTAAAATCAGTTTAGCTTGCTACATTATGACCTAGTGAAATGGACAAACTTGATTAGTATAAAAATAGAACTACTCCAGGGATAGAAACTATTTTCTATAACAAATCAAACCTTTATTTTTGTGGTACATTGGTGCCATTGATTTTAGCAGAAGCCTAATTTTGCATGCATCTACCATTTGTAACATCAAAATGGGCATTGAATTACATGGTGGTTTGATCTAACTGACACTTAATGATTTGTCCATGATTTCTGAAGCAGTAAATAATTTCAAAATATTTTGCATGAACAAAACTGAAATTATTTCTTTTTTATTTCAATGAGTTTTACAGTGTGAAAAACAAACCTACCCATTGCAGTGGGGAATTTCAGTGGTAATGGTCTTGAAGAATCCATAACCTATTTTAGTTCATGAAGCAGAGAGGAGCAATATTTTTAGCTATTTTATTGTTTATTTTTATGAAATTGCTTCCCCTAGATTTTAAAGGGATGGTGTTTTTCTGTTTCTTGTAGAATTGGTGCAGATTGACTGCTGTTGGAGAGCAGCTGGTTCGCCACAAGATGCCTCTGTCTCTCCGTAACTAATACCAGTGTGAAAAAGTCACTGCTGTAAATATTTCTCTGGTGGCTTAGAATGAAAAACTGAGATTGCATCTTCCCTTTCAAATATTTCTCTCTCTTTGTCCTTGGGAAAGGAAATGTGAACAATCCAGTGCAAAAACAAATTTTATCATTTTTTAAGATCTGCAACCTTTTCATTGTATTTGCTGCAGAAAGCTAACATGATGTCCTCTCTAGAAACAATCATGCCCATATACCTTGCAGGTTCACAGAACTGCAGAGTCATGTTTAAAAAATGCAGCAATGTGTTATTTCTGAATTTATTTCCTTTAATTTGAAAACAAAGAAAGTAAAATGGGGTTATTTAGCTTCCTGATTGTTGCTTAATAGCCTGTGCTGTTTGTTTTGCAATTCATGCTGATGCAGTTGTTGATTTCCCTGAGCAAACATGAATGCACTCTTGGCAACACAGACATTTTTCAGAGCTAGAGAGACCTGCACCATGTTTGTTAATTCATGCTCTCTGGAGAGCATTTGCTGATGTGGCATTTATTCTGATTCATCTAGATGAAGTGTGAAACAGTCAACAGGTAATTGGTTCCTGCATGAAAGCAATTCACAGATACCAGTTGGGAGTGTATGAGATTGCCAGTCATCTGAAAAAGAAGATTACTAGAAAAACCCAGTGGTAAGTTGGGATGACACATTCATTTAAGCAAAATTATTCTTTGCCTTACAGATTAATTTTAAAACTAAAAGTTATATTAAGGGGTTTTGTATTAATATATCAAGAACATTAAATTTCATTAAAATCACCAAAACATTGTTAAATGTAACTTTGTGCAGAAGGGGGATTTGAATTTTTGGGTTTTGTTTAAAGGAAAAAGTTTCTGTATATTTTATTGTGATTGATGGCCCCATTATGTAGGTTTGCCAACCTATGACAGTTAGCTTTAAAGGTGTCCTGGGTGTGTTATAACCTTTCCCTATGGGCAAGAGCAATTGTGAAGAGAGAGGATAGTTTACAGTGCCATGTAGGTGATGGTATATAATGTAGTTTCTAAAAAGTTAGCTTGGAGAGGTGGTTTAGAAGCCACAGAGGAGTTTTTATTGATTTTGAAAACATTATCTGCTGATGTCAGTGTTGCTTTTGAACATATATCCGAATACTTAAAATATTGCTGCTAGTTTTGTTCTGTTCTGCTGGTGGGTTTTAGCCAAGATAGTAGTTAAGCTATGTCATATATATAAATTTTTACAAAGATCTTTTTTATATAAGACCGCCATGAGTGGCTGTTTTTCAGACTAGAAATGTTGCAGCATATGAATGTTTGTTTTTCTGGACAGATTTCAAAAAAGAGAAAGCTATCAACTGATTGACCTCTTTGTCATTCAAAGAAATCTGAACTGATCACATTTCAAACTATGTGTGATCTTGTTCAAAATCAGGCCTTTCTAAGATAGGAAATGAGCTGTCAGAAATGTCTAGCAATCACTTCAAATGTAACTCAAGTATGTATTTATTCTTTCCTTTAAAGCATTTTTTCTTTTAGTGGAATTAGAATCTGAAAAAGATGCTACGTCTAAGCTGGAATAGTCATCCAAAGCTACTATGTCACTGCATGGTTTCTGATCTCTATTTGAAGTTGTTTTTCTCCAGAAGCTTCACCATGACCTGGAAGGCATGGACCTTCATGCACTCTCTTGTTGGAAATAAGAATATTGTCATGATGGGGCCTCCAGGTGCTGGAAAAACAACAGTAGGAAAAATACTAGGTCAAAAGCTGGACTCTTGTTTCATTGATGTGGATGATGATGTTCTTGAACCAACCTGGAATATGAGTGTGGCAGAAAAATTAAAGAGCATTGGGAATGAACAGTTTATAGAAGAAGAGGGAAAAGCCCTGTTAAACCTTTCAGCATCTGGAAGTGTAGTGTCCCTTTCCGGATCTAACCCAATGAATGCTGCTAGCATGGAGCACGTGAAGAAAAATGCAATAGTGGTATATCTGGATGTACCCACAGAAAGCATAATGGATCGTTTGAAATTAATGAAGGTAGATCATATTGTCGGCCAGGGTCAAGAAACATCATTAAGAGACATTATTCAGTTCAGGAAACAATTTTATCAAAAATGGTATGATGTCCGTGTTCTCTGTGAAAATGGGATTACAGCAGAGAATGTAGCAGACAAAGTGCTTCATGCTGTTAAGAGGTATCAAAATTCTGAGTTGGAATGCTTCATTTCCACCCGTGGCATTAAGGAGGACAAATCAAGGAGTTTTGTAAAATATTTCAGTGATGTTCTTATTGAAGGTCTGGCCCCAGATGGTGGGCTCTTTGTTCCTGAGTTGGGACTTCCAAAATTCACTGGGGCAGAATGGCAGCATTTATTAGGAGCGACTTACACCGAAAGAGCTCAGATTATATTAGAAAGGTGCATACATCCTGATGATATTCCTGCTTCCAAATTGTGGGAAATGATTCAGATGGCATATGGACAAAATTTTATGTGTTCTAAAATTGCCCCAGTTAGACATCTGCAAGGGAATCAGTTTCTTTTGGAGCTGTTTCATGGACCAACGGCTTCATTTAAAGATTTGGCTTTGCAGTTACTGCCCCATCTGTTTGCATACTGCATTCCCCAAAGCTGCAATTACTTGATCTTGGTAGCAACTTCTGGTGATACAGGAAGTGCAGTTCTGAATGGCTTTGGTCAACTTAAAGAGACTGATAAGCAAAGAATTGGTGTGATCACATTCTTTCCTCATGATGGAGTTAGCCAGATACAGAAATTCCACATGATCAGCTGCCAAGAAGCCAACACAAAAGCCATAGGGGTCCAGGCTGATTTTGATTTTTGCCAGGCTGCCATCAAACAAATGTTTACCAATTCAGATTTTACTGGCTTTCTCACAGTGGAATATGGAACAGCGTTAAGTGCTGCAAATTCTATCAACTGGGCACGCTTGCTTCCCCAGGTGGTTTATCATGCATCAGCTTATCTGAACCTTATTGAACAAGGTGTTATTTCATTTGGGAACCCCATAGATGTCTGCATTCCCACAGGTAACTTTGGCAACATACTAGCTGCGATATATGCAAAAGTCATGGGGATCCCCATTCGGAAATGTATCTGTGCTTCCAATCAAAACAATGTCTTGACTTCATTTTTAAAAACTGGCTTGTATGATTTACAAGGAAGGCAATTAATGCCAAGCTTGTCGCCAGCAATAGACATTTTGAAGTCTTCCAACCTTGAACGTTATTTACACCTGATTGCTAATGGTGATGGGCAGCTGGTGACACAGTTACTTCTCAGTCTGGAAAACCAGCAGCGCTTTCAGTTGCAGGAAGAGCTCCTGCAAAAGCTTCAACAGGACTTAGTAGCTGATTGGTGCTCTGAGGAAGACTGCCTGGGTGCCATACACTCTGTGTTCAACACTACAGGGTACATTCTGGATCCACACACAGCTGTTGCCAAAGTGGTTGCAGATCGACTTCAAGACAAAACTTGCCCCGTTATCATTTCTTCTACTGCTCATTATTCCAAGTTTGCACCTGCTATTCTACAGGCACTGAGGATTGGGGAAATAAAACAGACTCCATTAAGTCAGCTTCAATTGTTAAACTCATATAACCCTTTGCCTCCAGTCCATGGGGGCCTATTAGAGATGTTGCGAAAGAATGAAAAACCAAAGTATGAGATTTGTGCTGCTAACGTGAATGTCCTTATGGAACATGTGGAAAGCTTAATACAAAATCGCTTCATGAAGGTTTTCTAACTGCAAGATGCTTGGTGGTGCTGACTAGGTGTCCTGTTTTTGATTTTCTTTCTACTCTGTATATTTTAATAAATGTTTAGGAGATGCAGTTAACTTAATGAATATTTACATTGACAAATGCCAAATAGAATAGAAACAAAACAAGTATAACAAAAAAAAGATGTCATATTCCCAAAGGAGAAATTGTTTGGAAGAAAAAGAAATCGGAATGGAAAATATTGTTCAGGACCTGCTGAGAGGATTACTACGTAGAACACATTTGAGAATTATGAAGAGGGTTGTGAGATTAATAATAGAGAATGATAGAGTCATAACTGCTTTCTCCTGGTTACCATTTCATCTTTCAGAAATGGAGGTCTAAGCATGGATATTTCACCATTGTATCTCTATATCTGTGGCATAGTGTTTCTGAATCTTAACACGTTTAAGATGAACAGACTTAAATTCCCAGAATTTCTAGCCAACATGCTGACTGGGAAATTCTGGGAATTGGAAGTCCGTGCAACTTAAAGTTGATGACGTTGAGAAATACTGATGGATTCATGGATTGCATTTAGCCATACTTTGTTTCAAACCTAGCTTATGGGAAAAGTCATAATAGTGTAGTTCACACAAAAAGTACATCTTTCAAGTAACAATGTTGAATTCACATATCCTGCTAATGTAAAAACTGGCTTAATTTTGCTAGCGTATAGCAAAGCTTGTTATTTGCTCAATTTTCTCAGCCTGCAGAGGCCACGTTAGAATGTGGTGTGTCCTAGCGTGGCCTCTGGACCCTCGAAATTGCGCAAGAGGTCTCTGGAGCCTCTGAAATCGTGTGAGAATGTGATCCATTCTAGCATGATTTTCAGAGATTGCATGACTTGTAACGAATCCAGAGACCATGCATGAGCATACCACATTCTCATGTGGCCTCTGCAGCCTCTAATAATCACAGGAAGTTTTTGTATCATTTTCAGAACTCCAGAGGCCACATGAGGATGTGGTGTGTGAGGCATATTGCTTTGGTTTCCACCTTTAGCCACCACTCTGCTATTTCCAAAATGGTTCAAAAGTCTGATGGGCTAATGTGTTGCTTTTTAAAGGGAATTAACAGTGTTTCCTCACCCCCAGCAAGATTCAGTGAGAAGTGTGATCCCAACTGCCATTCTTCAAACATAACCTCATAAATCTGCAAAATTACATCAAGATATTAGGAACATAGGATCTTAACTCGACATTGTGTTAGCAGGCAGCAGTTCTTCCTGGTGACAAATGAAGGATTTTCACATCATATGCTAACTGACCTTCATATAAAGAAGTGCTGCAGTACAGATAGTCCTCTCTTAGTGACCACAATTGAAACGGGAAACTGTTGCTAAGTGATGCAGTTGCTAAGTCACACCACATAACTGCGACCAGTTTACGATATCATTTTCCATTTGGTCATTAAGCGAGTCACCAAGGATTGTTAAGTAGGACATCATTGCGATTTTACTGCTGGCTCCTCCATTGACTGTTCGTTGGAAGCTGGTTAGTGATCTCATGATCATGTGACAGTGGGGACTTTGATCACCATGAAATGGTGATCATTTGATTGGGATGCTGCAATGGTTGTAAATGTGAGGACTGATGGTAAAGCTATTTATTTTCCCCCACTGTTTTAACTTTGAACATTCACTAAAAAGAGCAGTCCTTGAGAAGTTTACCTATTGTATTAGGTGTACTTACAAAGCAAGCAGTTTTGTAAAAAGTTGCCAACTACCACAATCCTCTAAGTTCTGTGGAGTTCAAATTTATTGGATACATCTTCTCACACCATTGCATTACCAGAAATGCATCTAGGTAATTAAGTAAACTTTTATTTAATTAACATAATAAAATCAATTATGTTTAACCAAATGTGGCAGGTAACAAGTTCTTAATAACAAATACTTGGGTATTTTTATTTCTGTAAAATATATATATATATATTAAATGTATATGTCTATGTATGTGTGTGTGTGTGTGTTTATATATATATAAACAAAAGGTACTATGTGATGAGTTGAGTTCTTGGAAGGAAATATCTCCTCTATAGCTAAGTAACATAGTTATTAGGGGAAAAATTGTCAGTCTCTGTGTGTTGAGCAAAAGAGCTTATAACAGGATTTTTGCTATATTTAGCCCTTAATCACAGTGTGACACGCCTAACAATTTGCTAAATTTAACATTAGAGTATGGATTCAAGAGCTTCCTATATTATTTCTTTTTCAGGGAAATATTGGCTGGTTGTGGAGAAAATAGGAGGTGGAAAGAGTATGTTCACTGCCTTGAGTTACTTATACAAAGTAATATAGGTGGGCTAAAAAATCAAATAAATCCACACAACCTTCCAGTTCATAAGATAATTGTTTGGTTTGGCTAATCTGTTCTGTGGTTCCAGTCACTGTGGTTTCTTTAGCTAATTACAACTTAGACTTTTTAGTGCAAGTGTCAATGCCTAGGGGAGAGATTAACCCCGGTTTTGCAAAACTGCAGAAATCTACCCTTGCCTAAAATTACCATTAAAATAATTTTTCATTTTCAACATGAGCTGAGAATTCTTAGCCTCCAGAAGGAGACAGGTGTCTCTCTTAACTAGAATCTTCTGAGTTGGTTAGTATAATTAAAACTAAAATAGCTACTGACCTGTCTTTCTGCTAGTGTAGTACAGAATTGGAATAATAGAGAAAATCGCATTTCCTTCAGGTTTTTTTCCCCAGGGAGATGTGAACATAACCATACATGATATATATATGACACTCTTCATCCCTTTATGACTGGAATGGCCTTGTGGGCTTTAGCGCTTCTGGTGTCATCACATCAATTGCCAGGAATTGTATGGGGAGTAAACACACTTCATTGTTTATTTATCAGATATATATGGCAAAGTGACTCTGGGCAGCATATAATAAAACAAACTATTAACATAGCCTATAAAAACCACTTAAAACATTTACTTAACTAGCATAATTAAGTATATTATGTTAACTAACATAACGTAAACATAATTATGTTTCTTAATAAACAGAAATAATTAAAAAGAATGCAAGAGGGTTAATTAAGATGTTATAGGTAGTGTATCCCTAGGCTTGATGAAAAAAAAACATGTTTTGGGGGTTCTCTGAAAGATCATAAGGAATGGGGCTAACCTCACCTCAGGGGCAATGATGTTCCAGAGGGCAGGTGCCATAGCAGAAAAGGTTCATCTTCTATGTCCCAACAGATGGAATCCACAACATGTATTTCCTGCTAGACCTGATGGAAAATGTAAAACTAATTGGGGAAAGGGGGTACCTCGGGTAATCTGGCCCCATGCGTTGCCTTTGCTGTTTTCAGCCTCTATTGCATCTGCATTGATTTGGATGGCATACGCTGCTAAAGTACTATGCAATCAATGCCCCTTAGTGTACAGAGTTTATTCCAATCTTCTTCAACCCAATATTTGCAATGGGATCTTAATTCCTAGATGTTCAGAGTTCAGGGAATTAGCAGTCAACATGTTTGGATCCCACTCTTTTCCACTTGGCAACACTGACATCATATTGGATTGAATGAAGAAATAACTATAGGCAGTGGATATTATTTACTTACATAGCACCTAGTTATTATTGTACAGTTATGAAAAAAAAATCCTGCCCAAAGCTACATAGAAGAAACATATGACTGTTGTTTGAGAAATAGATGTGAAAGATGAAGCTTATCTTTGTATTTACAGTACTCTTCAGGGGTATGTGCCAACTATTTTGCTTGGCTTTTTTCAAGTTATAAGATTTGCCATCATTCTACAGCCTCCCTAGCCTTCCACTCTTTCCTGATGAGAAAAGATAAATTTCCCTCATCTCCCATAGCAATAAATCAGCCATACAATACTGACTTGCTTTTTTGTCATGAGGAACAGATGTCTGGAGCACTTGTGGGCAATCTCAAGTCCTCTCCTTGCCCATAGAGCAGGGGTGTCAAACTGCCGGCCCATGGGCTGGATGCATCATAGCGAAACCGTGCCCACCCCATTGCCGGCAATGGCAAAAAAGTCGTGATACATTGCAACATGTCACATGACGTTGCGAGTTTGACACTCCTCCCATAGAGGAATTAGGTAGAGCTAGTCTACTCACAGCGGTTCATTTACCACAATCATCAGTATAACAGAGTTTGAAGAGATCTTGGAGTTTTTCTAGTCCAACCCTCTACTTCGGCAGGAAATCTTATACCATTTCAGACAAATAGTTGTCCAACCTCTTCTTAAAAACCTCCAGTGTTGGAGCACCCACAACTTCTGTACGCAATACATTCCACTGATTAATTGTTCTAACTGTCAGGAAATTTCTCCTTAGTTCTAGGTTGGTTCTCTTCTTGATTAGTTTCCAACCACTACTTCTTGTTCTGCTTTCAGGTGCTTTGGAAAATAAGTTGACCCTCTCTTCTTTGTGGCATCCCCTCAAATATTGGAACACTGCTATCAACTGTAGTCCTCCTTTTCATTAAACTAGACATACCCAATTCCTGCACCCATTTTATGTTTTAGCCTTCTGACCCCTAAACATTTTTGTTGCTCTTCTTGCTAGAGTAGCTCTTTCTAGAGTCTCAATGTCTTTTTTATCTCATGGCAAACAAAAATGGATGCAGTATTCCAAGTGTGTTCTTCCCAAGGCATTATAAAGAGGTATTAACATGTGATCTTGATTCTATCTCTCTGTTAATGCATCCTAGGACTGTGTTGGCTTTTTTGGCAGCTGCAGCACACTGCCGGCTCATATTTAAGTGATTGTCCACTAGGACTCCAAAATACATCTCACAGTTACCACTATTGATCCAGTTACCACCAATTCTATATCTGTTCATTTGGTTTTTCTTGTCTAAATGTAGAACCTTACTTTTCTCACCATTGAATTTTATTTTGTTAGCTAGGGCCCATTGTTCATGTCTGTTGAGATCCTTTTGAATCTTGAGCCTATCTTCTGGAGTATTGGCTATTCCTGCCAATTTGATGTCATCTGCAAACCTGATGATTTTGCCATTTCT